AAAAGTAAGAGCCTCATCACCATGCTTTGTTGAATCGTCCAAAAATTCTCCATCAGTTCAATGTTATGTTAATTCAATAAAGAGAACAAATGAGAATAGATCCGGTCGTCATCGATCATCTTTTGTTAATCGTTCATATTCAAAATTATTTCGTAAACAAACTCGATCTAAAAGTATTTTTCAAAGTTCATTAAACAATGATGATATATCTCACTGTGATCAACATCAATTAGGACGTCGAGAAATAACAGCTGAAGCTCGTGTCACTCGTTCATTAGCTGTTGTTATTGGTTGTTTCATATGCTGTTGGTTACCATTCTTTACATTATATATAATTCGAGCTGTATGTCTTTGTTTAAGTTTTAATGCTATTGAATTTTTCGTCTGGTTGGGATATTCAAATTCATCAATTAATCCTGTACTTTATGCCATTTTAAACAAAAACTTTCGTTTAGCATTTAAAAATATTTTTCTTTCGGTAAAAAAAATTCTTTTTGTATAAAAAAAAAAAAAACCAAAAAAAATGACTCTAAAGTGTGAAAATATCTGGTGATATAATGAATGATAATGATTATTGTCTTGTGATGCTTTGAATATAAATCTAAAATGACAAGAATAAATGAGAAACATTTTTATGCATATGAAAAAAAAAACGTTCAATTGAGATGAGAGAATTATTCCATATAAGTTATGAAAATATTTATTTGAATAAAATAAGCTTTTTCAACCATTTAAATAATTCTTCTAAAAGAATTTAGAAAGAAAAAATCTTTAAATAGATTTTCATTGAAAAATTCTTGAATATTTATTTAATTTCAATGATAAAGATAATGCCTGTAGGGGTCGAAATACAATGATTGATATTCAAATGAGGACGGAATTCCTCATAAATGAATATAACGTATGAGATCACCTCAAATGATCTGAAGATGATTGTTTTTTTTGTCTTTTTTTTTTCGGTCACGCCATGCGGAAACTCTATCGGCATAAATGATCATCTATAGAAATAGAAAAATTCATGATTAATTGACTCTGCGTGTTTTTTCTCTTCTTTTGCCTTTATTATTATTATCATTATCAATAAGATCAGAACGTAAATATAGAAACATGCACTAGATCTTCAATAGATGAGTTTATTTCATACAAATAATAAACAACATCTTTCTTCTTACATTTAACATATTCCTATTCAAATAGATACTTTTTTTTTTACTTCTCGTTTCTCGATCTAGACTAATTCAATATTGTTATATACAAGAAAATATATTATGCTTTAAAACTTATATATACAAATGAAAAAAACATACTCATTTTTATTATTATGTTACATCTACTAAGATGATCAATAAGAAAATGAACTTCTCTAAGTGTAATGTCTTTTCTATAATAAAGATAATCCCTCCTACCATACATATAGACACTTCGTGTTGCTTTACTTGTGCATAACGATTTCATTTTTTTTGATCTCAAAATAAAGATAATCATAGTAAGATAACCAAGGCAGATAATAATAATTGTTATTAAATTGGTAAATCTACTGAGTTTAATTCATTTTCTTTTTATTGTTCAATTTAACGAACATTTATTTGATCTAGAAAAAATATATATATATATATATATATACATATATATTTATTCACTATTATCCGAAATTAGCTTCATTTCCATAAGAAAGACTTCTTTCAATAGGTCTTCGAAAGCAACAAATTAATATGATATAAACAAACTTAATATAGAAAGAAGAACATGATCGATTGTTTTCTGTCAAGCTTATCAAATTCTTTACGTCATTGAATATATATATATATATATAACGGTCACGATAACACCTTCTATATCACATTTTTTTACCAATTAAACTAATTCACAACTATTTATATAAAAAAAAATATCAATTAACAAATCGAAACCAAATACATTATATTTATGATCATCTTTTGTAAGATGACAATTGAGTCTTGATTAATTAATTAAATAGGAAATTAAATCAATATGAGATCAGTTAGTTCAATAGGAAAAACTGCATATCAACATGGTGTTTCGAGTGTAGATATGGTCTTATCTTGGATTGCATGTCATATTCACATTGGTCAATTAATGAATCTATTAAACATTTTCAAATGGAACAACACGCGAACTTGATTATGAATGAATAATTGCAAATTGAATTTTTAAAAGTAAAAAATCTAATTAAATATGAACTTCTTCATGAAAAAAAAAAACGTCAATTATTTATTGCGACTTTTTATTTCATAACAAGATACTTATTACTTTTATCACAAAGAGATCTCTTCACTTTTTTATGTCAATCTCGAACTATTCAAATAAAACAATTTTCTTCTATTTCTTTCTTTATGTCAAACTCAAGTGTCTCGAGTTCAACTGTCGAGAGGATCATATATCGATCATCTAATTGGTCAAATAATTCTAGGGTAATACCAATTATAATAACGTTTCATCTTATACTATTAATATACAGTATAAAAACAAGGACAAGACTATTTCATTTATTTGATAAAGATAAAGATTAGATTTATATTTACTATTATTATTATTTATTTATCATTAATCGATAATTGACTGCTTTTTTCAGAACAATAATCAATCTAGAAATCATCAAATCATTTACGTTTCAGTAATAGATCTTTTTATATTAATAGACTTCGATTTTAAACATAATTTAAAAACAAATTCGATTTATTTATTCTGTTTGATATAATGATCTACATATTTAATATATTTTTAAAAGATGATTCATTTAAGCTTCATTTGACTTCATACACAAAAGGAAATGGTGTCTCGAAAATGATCGCACTGTAATATATTGTTAATCATTGTGATGATGTCTGTTTTTGACACTTTTCATTTAAACAGATATGACAGGCATATTAAAAGTCAATTCAGTACACTACTCTTTTTATTCGACTATTTCAATTGAAAGATATTATTCAAAGTAACATATTATTGATCATTATTCTAATAATCCATCATATCAAGATCAATTGTAGCTTCCTAATAGCGAACAAAAATTAAGCCAATTCACGGATTAGCGATCGCAATTTGGAACAGAATTAACGTTGATCTCTTTTTTTTTCGTTTCCAAAGTGCGATCACTTTTTTCTTATTGAGTAATTAACAGTGTTAATTGGAAAACATATTTATTGAGAACATAAATAAATAACAAAAAAATTATTCCTCATCACTATTATCTTTTGAATCTTTAATAATGTGGATATAACGATAAGAAATAGTTCGAAAAATTTCTTGGTAAACATCAAAATCTTTATCTTTTATATATTTCTCTTTTGCTGACATAAGTTTATTATCATCTTGTACATATTTTCCTTTTTCTTGGTCTTATTGTTCTTTTTTCTTGTTCATAACGACACATAATAGATTCTTCAGATGATTTCACTTCATTAATCTACATCCACAGATCAGGATTTGTTCTAACCCTGGCATTTAATTATTGATGATAACCTTCCAGGTGATTGTTTGTACGTGGTCTTTCACCAAAAGTATCAAAATGATTCCACATTTGTATAGAAAATCGAGCATCTTCAACGTCATTTTTTATGACATAATCAGTTTATTTATCTAATTTTGAATCATAACTACATAGTTCATGAATAATCTTTTCCATCCAATTATTAACTTCCCTCAGAGATATTAAAGGTAATACAATAATATTAGTTATTTATTCCTACGACACATATATATTAATATCCTCAAAAGAAGAGAACTCATAATTGAATCTTTCAATCACTGATTAATCAAAGTTATTGCAATTTGGAACAAGAAAAAAAAAGAGATCAACGTTAACTCTCGGTTCTAAATTGCGATCACTGATGTGTTAATTGACTCAATTTTTGCTCGCAATTAGGACATAGCCCGATCAATTCAATTTGAGAATAAGTAGAAAAGGTAAAATACAACTGAATTTATGCATTTAATAGAACTTTTATGGGGCTATAATTCCATATATGAATCAGTAATTAATTGTTTTATCTAATGGGACCATACGTCCGATCCTACCATATTTATCTTCCATTCTTATCTTTCAAAAAATTTTGATATTGATCATTTGATAGCCTATTTAAAAAAGTACAATATCATATATTTTTGATAAGTGAAAAAAATTTTGTCGCTCGAAAAGTTCCTTAGTATACAAGTCTCCAAGCTCAATTTTGTGTCTTTTTGGACAATATCTAGAAGATTTCGATAAGTAAAAGTTGAATTCGAGTGAAAACTAATATGATAGTCGCAATCAGCATCAAAATCTGATTTGATCTAGATGTAACTGAAAGAACTTCTGAAATTTTTCTTTTTCGTCGAAAATTTACCCATGGTTCTCCCTCAGGGATCAGATGAAAGATGAACTCTTTGAAAGCCCTGCTTTTATCGTCTAGATATCGTTCATTTTACCATCTTATAACTTTAAACAAAAAAATTTCGACGTTTCTCTGTAATGTCCAAATGATGTTTTCATGGACATTATTTTCGTCTGATCCCTGAGGAGGAACCATAGGTAAATTTTTCGACGAAAACAATTTCCAGAGACTTTTTAAACTACACTTAGACTAGTCCAGTTTTTAATATTGATGCCGAATATCATATTAGTTTTCACCCAAATTGAACTTTTTCTTATCGTAATCTTCTCAATATTGACTGAAAAGACACAAAATTGAGCTTGGAGACTGATGGGTGTGGGTGTCGCTGTTCACTAAAGTCTCTCTCGAAGCTAACCCGCACCCACACACTCACACTCACACCCACACCCTGATTTCAAACAACTCGAATGGCTGAAAATATTAGTATAGTTTTCTTCCATTCCTTGCGGTTGGACGTTAACCGATAACCTTTGGTTTTTATCTTTAGTCCTTGACTCGGAAACAGGCAAACACTGGACTTGTCGGAATGGATGGGAATGGCTGCGAATGGATGGGAATGGATCGGAATGTCCGAATGTCTTTCCCCCTTGCCATGTCCATTTTCGATATTCATTTCCAATAATGCATAATCACTAACAATGCTATACCAATTAATACCGGAGCAATTCCATAAACCATGTTGAATAACGACGTTGATTGTTGATTGTTGTTAAGTAATTCTTCTATATCACCTAATTTTTCACGAAGTAATTTAATTTCAGTTTCGAGCGATGCAATTTTGAGTTGATATGGAATCTTTTCTTGCGCGTGTTTTTGGACGACCTCTTGAAGTAATTGTGAGGCAGTTTTCTTGACTTCCATATTCTAAAAAAAAGCAACCAAATTACGTTTGGATAAGAAATTCTGTTTCTTACTAATCTACAAATAAACATGTGTGTATGTAAATCATAATTATGCTCTCGGCCGGATCTGTAAATACGAAAGTTCGACTCCACGCCAATTGTCCATAGGCAACTTAGCTCAGCGTGCATCCATTTGTGCGTCACTACTTACCCGATAGAAGCATGTACCGTTTTTAGAACGAATTGTTACTGGAGATGAAAAATGGGTGTGATATGTCAACGTCTGCCGTAGAAGGCAGTGGCTTGATCCTGATGAAGAACCATTACCGGATGTAAAACCTGACTTGCATCTACAGAAGATAATGTTGTGGATTTGGTAGGATATGAGCGGTGTCATCTATTTCGAGTTATTAGATATCAATCAAACGATTACCGCCAATGTCTACTCTCAGCAGTTGTAGCGATTGAATGAAGTTCTACTTCAAAAGCGACCGGCTTTGGCGAAACAAAAAGACGTCATCCTTCTCCATGACAACAGTCGACCTCATGTGGCAAAGTTGGCTCAGCAAAAAACTGAACAGTTAGGATGGGAAGTTCTTCCGCACCCGGCGTGGTCACCAGATCTTGCACCATCCGATTATCATCTATTCCTATCTCTTCAAAACTATCTGTGCAATAGTCACTATGAAGACTTCGATGAGCTAAAATTCGACCTAACTGCCTTTTTCGAATCAAAACCGGCTAGTTTCTACAGATGTGGAATTGAACTATTGCCAGAAAGATGGGCGAAGGGTGTCGAAAACTATGGCGATTATATTGTTGATTGATGTTTGCATATCTTTATTGAAAAATAAGTTTGTTGTTGAATCAAAAAAAAAACGTGCAGAACTTATGTACCAACCGGATATAATTCAATAGGGTTGACCGAGAAAATAATTAGTGGATCAATTTGACTTTTTATACAGTCGTCTGTTTGATTTAGTATCGTAGATTAATTTCGAATAAAAAAGAATCGAATTGATTTTTAATTTGAAAAAGAATAGTTTTAATATTTGAAAAGAGGAGAGAAATTTTGATGAATGATATATATATAATAAAGAAAAATTGATTAACATGATCGTTGTGAATATATATTTGACAAAAAAAAAGAAAAAGAAAACAATAATAATATAACTAATATGAAAATGATTTAATCATCATAATTATCATCATCAGTTCTTGATGCTTCCATTTTTTTTCGTAAAACTTCTTTTGATAATTCTTGTGTTTGTGCCCAATCATTTTCTTCTAATTGTTGTAACTCTTCACGAGCCTAATTATTAAATATTTAGAGAAAAAAAAAATTTTATTTAATAAATAAATCTACTTGTTCAAATAGAATTTCTTGTTGTCGTCGTAATTCTTCTTGAGTATAAATTGATGCTGGTTTTCCATGAAGTTTTTTTCGTTTTTGTGCCATTTCTTCTTGTGCTGTTTCCATTGCATTTAAACAATTTGCTTTATATGAATTAAAACCCAAATTATCCAAAGCTAAATAAATTAAAATTTTTATTTAAAAAAAAAGAAAATTTAAATAAAAATTCTAACCAGTAACAATATGATCAGGATGAATAAGTTTTTTTGCTTGTTGTTCACAAACAGTATTTGCTTGTAAAGCTAATGTATGAATAAATTCATTACAACATTGTACAAAAAATTCTTTGGCTTCGCCTGATACACGAATTTGTCGTGTACAATCTTTTATCATTTTATATACAGCAGCTCGCGGAACACATTTATCATCTTCTTCACTAGCACTACCACCATTATTTGGAGAACACATCATCTAAAAAGATTTTTTTTTTCAAATTTAAATAGAATTATACAAAAATAATATTTTATTATTTTAGTATTCGATTTTATTTCAATTCAATTTGAATTTGTTAAATACAATTAAAAGATCAATTCAAATGTATTAACACATAAACAAATTACTATTTTCTTTTAACAAGAATAAATTCTATGTAAGTAGATATTCGATTAACTTTTTGGTTACCAACATAAAAAAGCAAAAATAATTTTAAAAAACATTCGTTATAGCTATTCATAGTGAAACTCTAGGGTGTGCTAGAACAAAATCAATCATATAAGACCTCCAGCTGCCTGACATTTATTTTTATGTGAATGTCTATACAAAATACATATATTATGAGCGATTGCGCTAGTTTCACACAATAATAAAGCTCGTGATGCATAGTTTCTATATTCCAGTATGTGGAACTTTATTTCATAAATATGAATAAAAGAAAAACTCTAAACTATCCATCATAATAAATAATCTGTTAGTTTTCATCGTAGTTAAGAGCCCCTTCCCCTCAAAAATCGATCTCAGGCAAGGAACATCCGAATGACATTAAATCTTTTAGGATATGTTGGGGCTAGTGAACCATGGCTGTGGTAAAATTTTCAGTCCTGTACCATGACGTTTGACGGAGATATCAGCCAAACAAGCGTCAAAACATAGCTAATTTCGTCTTGAAAATTTTTCTGTAGTTTTCAGTCTATTCATTTGATTTTTTTTATTGTTCTTCAAGAGCATGTCAGAATGCAGCGCCTATGAGAATCTTTTTTTCTTAAACTCTTACTTTTTAAGGGAAAAAAGAGATCAGAAGTTCAATGACTCTAAAAAAGTGGCGCTCTAATTATATATAAAGATTTATATATATAATAAAAGCAAAGCTTAATAAAAAAAAACTGGCTTTCATAGGCACTGCAGTTTTACATGCTCTTTCAAACAAAAAACGAAAACTATTGGTTACAATGAAGCTCCTTCGAGAATTCTTGGAGATGCGATCGAGAACCTATAAAACGAGAAAAATCGAAAAAGATTTTCTGCATTTATCTTAATTTGGATAATTTTGATGAAAAGTGACTTTTTTGATAAGGATCTCCTTAAACTTAATATATTTGTTTATCACATATAAAACAAAAGTGAGGATAGTTTTTATTAATGATTAATACATAACTATGTAATCACTAATGTATAAAAGTCATAGTTGCCGAAATGTTCGAGAGTCTGTTTTATAAACATCGAATGTAAATGATTTTTCTTAAGAGCATCGCCTTCCCCCCCTCCCTCCCCATTTCCCAAATTTCTCAGGAACGAATCGACTAAAAAATCTGAAGTTAAATAGATCACAACTAGTAGAGTAAAGCTTGTCATAGACTCAGAATTCCAGAATGCTTCCTTCTATGAAATATCGGGAACACAACAAGCCAAAATGACCTAAAGTTTTTCCCTCCACAAACAGTCATAATTGGTTTTTTTATGTGTAACAGGTGAAATCACATTAGGATGTAGACTGTTTTTCTTTGACAAATACTATTTTCTTCACTTGTAATAACTAAAATACTGAAAGCTCTGTCAAAAAACGTGTCTTTTTTTTGTCTACGGCAAATTTTGTAAGATGTGCCAAAAATCATGAGAAAATAACTTGTTGAAGTTGTTTAACACTTAAAGACAAGTTTTTCGATTCGAAAATGTCCTGATGAAATAGATAGTAATTGAGATAATACATTTGGGTCATAAAAGGGAATGCACTGAGAAATCGACCAGAAAAAACACAATACAAATATTGTCAAATCGTTCGACGCAATCATTTTCGCAAATTAGAACAATCATATTATGAAAATATTTAACTTGAAATAACAATGCACAAACAAACGAAAAATGTAAATAAATAAGTTGACTAACTTACTGTTTGTTAAAGAAAAAAATCTAGTTTGATACCTGTTTAATTGTAATTAAATTCTAGAAGAAAAACTAAATTTAATATAAAAGAATAATATTTTATTTAAATAAAAAAAAATAAATATTAATATGAAATATTCTAAATAATGCGATGAAATAAAAATCTTCTAAAAGAAAATATAAAATAAAATTTTTTTTTTTTTTTTTTTTCTTAATCAAATTCTTCTGTTTGTTCATTTATCAATTAGTTTAACTTTTTAATAGATGAAAAACAAAACATAAAATAAAAAGAGAATAGGAATTTAAACTACAAAAACAAAAACAAAAACAGACACACAAAATTTTGTTAGTTTTTTCATATGATTATATTCAAACTCGGACGGATTATCAAAATATTTCCTTTAAAATTAATGATCAGTTTTCGATTGAAAATGTGAATAAGGAAATAAATGCATCCATAGAAGAGTTAATGGTGTACCAAATAAACATATTTTCCAATAAATTGAACGTCCTCGTTCAGTTAATATAAATGGTAATGTTGTTAATGTAAAAAAAAACCAAGAATATATTGTTTCTCTTAATGCTAATTCAAGTTCATATGGTTTATCTTTTATATCGGAACTAAATATTATTAATTCATTCTTTTTATTTTCATGAAAATCATAAAAATTTTTTAATAATCTAAAAATAATTAATAAATTAATTTAATATTTTATTTTATTTTATTTTATTTTTCACTTGTCTTTTAATTGAAACCTTTGATAAAGCCAATTTGATATTTGTTCATTTGTTTCACTTGGAATTTCATTTATTCCTATTCGTCTTATATCAATATGTAATTCATTTGTTCGACTTTGTAAATATTCTAAACAATTTTTTATATCAAACACATCTTATCATTAAATATCAAGAAAAATCATTTTAGAGATTCTTCAATTCATACAAACAATCTCAAGATAAAACATAAATCATTTCAAAACTAAACATCACGACAATAGCCAACGCTCAAATATTGAGGCAAAAAAACCAACTAATGTTCACATTCATCAAACCAACATCAAAAGACTATTCAACCACTAAACATAACACCAACAAATCATTATTCAATATGATCCAAAATATCTTAGATTTGCCTCTTGATAAAATACGCTCTTAACTAGAATCTCAACAAAATAATCATTTAGGAAATGAAGTCAAATGTAGTGCTAACTGACTAGAATCATTAGACATTTACCATAACTTTGTCTAATGCTTTTTTTCCTAACATTTAGTTGTTGAACTTTTTGGGT